AATAACGCTAATACTGAACACTTATTACAACAAAACCACAAACATTATCGAAAAACTACAAGATATACAGAATTAAAACAAATATGTAAATAAATAAATTGTGAAGGATAGAATCTTCGGTTTCTTATCTGTTTTATTAAATATGTGTTCCTACATATTATTCTAATACCCATGGAGTGTTAAATTTAAACAAAAAGTATAATAAAAATTAAAATATTCTGCTGTTAATACTAATAACTTAATAAAAAATATGGTTTTAAAAGTAAAATCTTTTTCTTTTAATTATAATTTTTTTCTCATTTCGAAAAATGAACGAAACATACGAACGCTTTCTTTAAAGTGTGATAGATTCATTGCTATCAATTGTTATACACCTAGCGTGAGTCAAGACGACGTCGATCGCCCAGATACCGAGCTCGTCCGAACCGATTCTTGGTCTACAATTGTAGAATCTACATGATGTAGATTCGTCTCTGAATGCGGCCCTTAATGCTTTAACCGATCTGTTTTATCTAACCAACCGCTTTTATCAATTGTAATACCTACCGAAATCCTGGTTTATCACGTTTGTTATTTGCTAGATTGTTAAATGTATACATATAAAATAGGATTTTCTACTGAAGTGTAAATTAATATTAACATTCACATCATTATTATTTAAGTGTTTACCTAAGCCCCTCCCCTGATATAGGTGTAGTCATTATCATAATTACCGAATGAATGAACATGGTGTTCAAGCTGATGATTACGTCATGTTGCGTAATATTTATAAGTAAAATCGTTAAAGTTTATTAATTAAGATAATCCAGTAAACATAAACGTGTAAGTATAACGTGTATGCAATTACTTTTAAACAATCCTACAGTGTGTCCCCGGATAGGTAAAGCGACTCTTATAAAAGGTAAAATTTTTTCGATATTAATTATCATTTTTGGGGTTTAGACCTTCTTGATTAAAGACTAATTTTGAACATATTTTCAAGTTTTAAGAAACAAGTGAGTGTTGACACTGAAGCGAAACCACCTGACAATTAATGTCGCAAAATTTTACATTTTATAAGAGTCGTTTCACCTATCCGGGGACATACTGTATGTAATCCTGTCTATTCTGAGAAGTTTTATATTTTTAGAGAGATGAAAACGAAAATTCCATTTTTTTCAACATTGTACATTTGTCGCTTAGTCAAGTGATGCATAACGCGGTTCAAATGTAACTAATGACAACAATAATGCAGACATGGACAAAAACCTGTCAAAATTTCATAGCATTCTAATAACTTTCCTTGTTCGGCCATATTTTAAAAACTAAAACGGCTAGATCCAAAAACTTTGTTGAAAAATGATGAGCTCTAAGATACGCAACTTTGCCCCCATTTAACCATGGTGGGGGTCGAATTTGAATTACCCTGTATATAATATACATAGATATTTTTGTTCAATTATCATTTAAAATCGTCATATAATTTATAACTTGTCAGTTAAGCTATTCG